AGCCGCAGTGTAGCTGAGAAGAGAGCAGCTGCTAGTGCAGAGAGAGCGACGAGAGAAAGAACAGAGGGCAGACGGAAGGATAGAGATAGCATAGATATGACTAGAGAGGGCGGCGACAGAGGGAAGACCAGGAGAGAAAACCGACGACAAAGAAGGAACAAAAGAAGAGAGAAGGAAGACAGAGAGGAGAGACGAGAGAGAAGAACTGAGAGAGATGAAGAGTGGACGAGAAGAGCACGAGAGACGAAGAAGATGGATGAGCAGAGAGGTGAGCGAGAGTGAAAGCGAGGCCGAGAGATAGAGATAGATAGATATCAAGAGAGGCGTGAGAGAGGAGCGAGAAGAGACCTGGATCGAAGACGCGCGAGAGAGAGAGCAGAGAGAGCACAAGAGACGGAGAAAGAGAAGATAGCATAGATGATAGAGAGGCGGGGGCGACGGAGGAGAGCAGAGAAAGACCGGGATGGAGAGAGAGTCGAAGAGGGAGCAGCAGAGAGAGAAAGAGAAAGAAGGAGAGAGATAAGAGGACGGAGAAAAGAGCAGGGAGCAGATAGCGAAGATAGATAGATAGATAGAAGACGGTGACGAGAGAGAGAAAGGGAGACGGAACGAGATAGAGCATAGATATGATCAGATAGACTAGATAGATAGATAGAATCACAGATAGCATAGATGGATTAGCATAGCAATAGGCATAGAATAGATACGATAAGCATAGTAGATAGGATAGGATAGATAGCATAGATAGATAGCATAGTAGATAGATAGATACGATAGAGAGGGGGGTCTGAGAGAGCAGCGGGACGAGAGAGAGCGGCGAGAGAGGAGAGAGAGAAGAAGAGCGAGAGAGAGAGAGATGAGAGAGAGAAGAGATGAGAGAGGGAGAGACGAGGAGAAGAGAGAGAGAGAGCAGAGAGCGTCTGCCTGCCCTTAGTCCGTATACTTGAGTCAAGTCATTCAGTCAGTTACTAACGGAACTGTACTTATGAAACGATGTTATAACATATAGCCGATGGCTTGCATGCAAAATACGTGTTCGCGCGCCTGCTATTGTCATTCAAACTTACTTCACACACGCGCACGCCACGTCCGACGCGGCGGCATTACGCCACGCACGCACGCCACGCACGCACGCACGCACGCACGCACGCACACACACGCGCCACGAACGACTGCGCCGCGTCGCGCGCGTGCACAAGCACACACACACACACACACACACACACACACACACACACACGTGACCACACACCACACACACACACACACACCGGCACGATGAGAGGCAACATATTATCAGAGCTAATAAACACCTTATTTGCACCTTAAAGGTATTTTATTAGCTCTTGATACTATAATATATATACTATAATATATATATCCAGAGCTCTGCTCTAAAAGCGATTGCGCATCGTGTTTTTTTAGCCTCACCATTGACATCGTCATAGCCTCGAGCATATTGCCATGCGCCTGTCGTCGTCGTCGTGTACGTTCGCGTCCGTGCCTCTGTGCGGCCGTTCGTCCGTCCGTTCCGTCAACAATGTTGGCTACGGTCAACGATAACGTCATGAAACGTTTTGACCCACATGTTTGCAATATGGATATAGTTGTTCTTGCTATGCTCCCATATTAAAAAACACCGCTATTTTGAGGCATTGGCAGTCGACGTGATTTCGAGCCACGGGCAACTTTTTTTGGCCAAAAATGGGACTTGCCTTAGTCAGTTCAGGGTTCAAACGATTTGCTCATTTTTGGCTCAATGGGGATGACATAAGCGGGCTAGGGTTTCTGGAATTTAAACAAAAGATTATGCCAAATTAGGTAGGTTTGGGCCATTACTATAGATATTCATAATATGAACACGCAAGATAACAGCTCTGGTGGCGCTGTCACACTCGTGCTAGGTTCGTTTACAAGATCTTCATTGACAATACTTTAATGCAAAGTTGGTGATTTCCTCTCCACCCCTGCGATAAAACGCTCTATATTAGCAGTAAAGTTTTACAAACACTTGTCGAACAGCAGATAACCAATTTATTTCGAACGCCATCGCTAAGAAACAATCAAGATGCGGTATTAGCGCCACTCTACCACGTCACAAATTCGCTGCATTCATTTTGGTTTATAAATTATTATGCGATATACAGATGGGCAACCGGTGCTACCGCCTAGAAAACCCATACAAGTACAAACCTTCCATGCAACCACTTAATCTTTTAGACAAAGTTGTGTTATTGGGCCAGAGTTAAAACACCATTCTCACGATCGAGTATATAAGCTCCAGCCTACCGTGGAATTAGCGTATTCCTCTTAATCTTACTACGCTTACACTCGGAGCTCCTGCTTTTAGGCTGCTGCCTACAATCTGATATTATAAAGACGTTGAAATGGGCGATCATTAGGATTTTAGATGTGCTTAACGCCATCACTCGCCTTCATCCTCAGACTTTCACATCTCAAACATTTATTTTCACATAAAAAATGACAACATAATTATCAAGAGTATTATAATGTACTTCTTCTCTTTCTATGATGTACCCCGTCGATGGATCTGCTCAAATTAAAACGGACTCTTCTCACTCACTCCATTTGTCGTACCTTTTTTGTTGAGTGGATTCAGTACTCACATTGACACTTTCATTAATAGGTGTGGTCGTTGGGTGCGTATGTAGGCTCACGTGGATGTATTAACATTGTGGCCGTTGGACAAAGCTGCAGTGGGAACTAATTCTGATTATTTTAATCGGTACCAAACGCTAGCCTATTCGGCCTGTCATTAATAATAAATACTTACGGTGTAACGATGGTTTTATCGCATTGGCATATTCGGTTCATACAGTATTTCAGTGAAGAAAATATGCAGCAAACATTTATGTAATGTTTACTCATTCGCAGGTCTGCTTAAGTCAGTATAACTGATGAAAGACACATACGTTGAACAATTTTGCCTGTGCCACGACTGACTTACTGCAGATACTCTCTTTCTCTACTCTCTCTCTCTCTCTCTCTCTCTCTCTCTCTCTCTCTCTCTCTCTCTCTCTCTCTCTCTCTCTCTCTCTCTCTCTCTCTCTCTCTCCCTCTCCCTCTCCCTCGCTACACTGCTCTATCTCTCTCTCTCTGCCTTTCTTTCTCTCTGTGTCTCTCATACGTCCTTCCTTCAGCCCAGTCCTTCTCTTCATTTTTTTCTCTGTTCTGTGACATCTTCTCTCTTGCATGGGTGAGCTCTCTCTCGCTTTCTCCCTCTGCTCTCTTCTGCGCCATCTGACTCACCCAGTACCCACTCCCCTCTTCTACATCCGTACTCCTTCCTATCTCTGGCTTGCCCGTTCTCCATCTCCTTCTCTCCCTCCCCATCCCTCTCTCTTCTTTCTTTCTCCCTCCCTTCTTCTCCTTTTCTCTCGCGTTCTTCTCTCTTTCTTTCGTCTCTCTCTCCCTCTCTCTATCCCTCTGTCTTTCTATAATGCACGCACGCGTGTATCCATAGCAAACTGTTCAACAACACTTTGAATATTTTATGAATTTTAATTTTAACGCAAGAGCCCATCGATTTCGGGCGAAACCCCCGCAAGCTCTTTTCAGTGGTCCGTGTTTGAGTCGGTCACACTAATGTGGCAGCGGCGACGGAAGTACCCGAAATAAGCATTTCAAATGAGAAATTTCTTCAATGGAAAGCATTTCAGTGGAGAGGCTGTCAAATGCTGTCGCCGTCACTCGTCGTCATTCAGAGCTCAGCTGGTTGGCGAAAAAAGGGGAGAGGGAGCGAAAAAAACGTGCGACTATTGCCACGTCGGTCAACGAAAGCAGGGCGGGTTGAGAAAAGGCCACGATATGATTGCTTTGACACGGCAGTACGTCGTCGTTTCCGCGCGCTTGCCGGCGTGTAGTTTTACGTTCGTATGACAGTGATGTCCTCACGTGTACATTAGCGTCTAAAAAGTGCCGCTAAAGTTCTAATGTTTCCTAATGAAGCAGAAGAGGGGAAATATATTCGACAGCTAATTGTAGTCTCGCGTGTGAATTGCATTTATGACAATGTAACGATAGATTATTAAAACAGCAACAGCACCAGTAAGAAAATATTCCTTTTATTATACAATTATTACATAGGTTAATTTCTCTTAATACAATCGTTATGTTTAATTTGTGTCTGTTTGGAGAAAACGTAATGCTCCCAGAACACGATGAAATTCTTCAATGTAAATTGAGATGCTACCGATTGTAAGAGAATTCCACCTTGAAACGAAGTCATCAAAAATATTTTTAAATGCATTAGTTTTAATCTATAGCTGTTTCAAATGTCGTAATTATCTGGGACCGGAACGGAATTCTTGACTGTTAGATATAGTTTGTGGAGGTGTTATCTCCGACACGCGTCGCATACCCCGTGATAGTCTCTCGTCACCAGCAGTAACAGCAGCAGCAGCAACAGCAACAGCAGGGGATCGACTGTGAAGCCATGCAGTCCTCGTGTAGGCAGTCATGCGTCAGCGTGTTACATGCAGCTAACAGATGCGGCGCATTCCATCCCTGTATCGCGTGTCGGGCAAATAAAAACAGTTTTTGTTATATTTAGTGTAACTAGCATGGACTGTTTGTACGCGGGGCCGATAAGAAAACCGATTCGGGTTAGCGGCTCATCTTCCACTTGGCTAGACAAACGAGGCTGACGCTGGGAGAAAGAAAGATGCTGTACGCAATGCATGCAGATATTTTTGCGTGGAAATGTGCAAGTTTCGCGTGGATCGGCTTTCTGATGGAATGTGTGCGTGCGTACGTGCACGTATTACGTCGTCCTGCGACATCTGCCTTTACCATAAACTTAGCTGCGCTCGACAAATATGCAAACAGATATAACTCTATATCTCCATAGTCTATATATCTTTGCCTATGTGTATATCTATGATCCCATAAATATACTACTTACTATCTGTGTTTTTATATAGATCTATTATATATATTTTATATGCTTGTGATTTACTGATGAATTGCGTTGCTTATAGGTTTCCTTTGCACGGCCAAGCAGCGAGTGCATCAAGGGAGCCAACCTTTACGTGTCCGGTCTACCCAAGTATATGACCCAGCAAGATCTGGAGAACATTTTCTCAGAGTTTGGGGAGATCATCACGTCAAGAATACTGTGCGACAGTATCTCAGGTACAGACTTATCCTAGTGAATCACAGGTGCATCACAGTTACGTGCAGGTTCATCTTAGTTACGTACATGTGCATCCTAGTTATCTACAGGTGCATCCTAGTTATGTACAGGTGCATCCTAGTTATGTACAGGTGCATCCTAATTACGTACATGTTCATCTTAGTTATGTACATGTGCATCCTGGTTTTAGACACCCCACCTTGATCACCTCCACCCTATGAACAGTTGTTACCCTTGGTTTTATAGCCCCCCCTATCGATGAACAGTTTCTGAGGCAGGGTGAACCTACTGTTTGCGCAGTTGTTTCTTGCGAAAATGTTTTACGAGAGTGATCTTTGGCAATGTTTGAAGTGCTGTTAAGTGTCAGCCTTATAATTTGCCCGCGGTTTGGTTTGTCACCCTCGGTGTGACAATCGGCTAATAACGAGCTTGCAGATGCTACGATTAGCGTTCTTTCTCCTCTCCAGAAATGCGTATGAACTACAGTAAAAACCCGCGTATAAGAACATAGATTTTTCCAAGTTAGCCTCAACATGTTCTTATATAAATGGTGCTTACTGAAAAATTAGGCTCAAAAGGTTCTTAAATAGGTTCTTAATTGTTTCTACTTTTAATATGTACTAGCTGAAACCCGCGCTACGCGCGGGCTTAGTCACTGTGATGCATGCGTTACCAGTACATGCAGTAGTGTTATGTGTAAGGTGTTATATGGAGAGTTTAGTTGTTGCACATGTTTGATTTTTTTATGGTTGAGATGTCATACAAATACATGTAGCAATTCATCTTACACCGTAACAGCCTTAACCATTTGGTTTGGCAAGTACACAGTGAAATAACAGGACACACGACGGTCACGCCACACACAGGACAAATGTTTTATTGTAATGCTATGTAGGAACTAGACTGGTTGATGATACGGACTTCCCGAAGTTAGTAATATAGATTAGATTTATTTTCGGCTGAATGTGTTCTTATGTATATGCAATTTTTTGACGCGGCATTTTCAGCACCGAAGTGTTCCTGTATCAACGGTGTTCTTTTATGCGGGTTTTTACTGTATATGTAAATAATGGGCAGTATCTGTGTCTGGCATAGAGCAATCCGGCCAGCGTGCGGCATTGTTACTTGTTGAGCGGGCATCTGGCATTGGCAATTGCATTGTGCATTGTTATTGCATCGATATTCGTTGAGCTCGTCTTTTTATTTTACCTGTGTTTCTTTTTACAGTCTTCATGCTGCAATGGAAAATTAAGAAAACGCTACTTTCAAAATCTTAGCCTAAAACAGGTTCTTATGTAAAGGGGTCTAAATGGGAAATTTTAGCCTAACATGTTCTTAAAATCTATGTTCTTATACGCGGGTTTTTACTGTACTTGGAAACTGTATGTTACTGTAAGAGTTATATGGAAATATCTCATTAACTGTGAAACAAATGTGAGCTAGCTTGGTACTGTTGGTGCTGTGGATCTAAGGATGTAGGCAGTTTTAATGAATTTGGGTCGTAAATGGCGGGAAAAGAAGTGGGTTGAAGGACATCTGAACGTTTTTTGGCATAAATTGAGATTTATATGTACAACAGAAATAAAAATAGTAGGAGATAAGGAATAAGGGATCAGGTAGAAATGAGTAGACGAGAAAGTCTAAAGTTTGTCCACCGACGACGGTTGTCGTAATTTAACGGTGGGTATCTAGACTGGGAAAAATGGCTGTGTTGTTTCGCGACTTCTTGTTGACGTTCTCTGTGTTCTTGTTCGTGTAGAACGCGCGAGAGGAAAGTGCGGTCATGCTGTTTGCACGCTCTAGAACTATATAGCCTTATCACATATATGTGCTCTATCACATGGCTATAGCACAAACTATGTTGAATATGGGCAACGGAACTGCTCCCGCCTGTGGAACAGCGTAGGGCGATAGTTCTTGAGTAGGTGTTTGCACGCTCGGTTCACAGGCACTTGGAACGTCTCAATAAAATAAAAAAGGGAAATAAACACAAAATGTATTTACTACCAAAGTCTTAATGTTTCTCTACTCTATTTCGCATATTATTCCCGATAATCACCTGTTAATGCCGGTCAAATGCTCATCTGCAACACACAAGTACACCGCACGCACGCCCTGTGCACAGAAACAACATAAATAAGAGAGTATTATGAGAGTATTAAGTATTATGAGTGTATTATAAGAGAGTATTAAGAGAGAAATTAAGTCTCTTATTCATGTTGTTTGTGCACAGGGCGTGCGTGCGGTGTACTTGTGTGTTGCAGATGAGCATTTTACCGGCATTTACAGGTGGTTATCGGCAATAATATGCGAAATAGAGTAGAGAAACATTAAGACTTTATTGAGACGTTCCAAGTGCCTGTGGCTCGGATAGGGCGCTGTGTTGAATCGGCAAATTCCTCATCTTCGTTAAGTAATTAAAGCGACTCCACACTATTGATCACTTCAATACCAAACGTATAAACAGTCTGCTACTATAAATAGCGTCCCTTTGAGAGCCAGATGACAAGCACACGCCTTCCGCGCGTTTTTTGTCAGTTGCTATAGCAACCCGTTTTAAAATCGGGATAATCAGTTGGAAATGCGGCACGATAGTGATCAGGAGATCCATCGACGTCGGAATGCATACTAGTGCGAAAACTGTGATCCCTTTGTCCACAGCCACGCGCTCTCTCACTCTCTCTCTCACTCACTCTCTCTCTCTCTCT